CGAGCACTTTACAAGCTTCCTAAAGGCCATGCATGCCCCTTTTTTGGCAAAAAACAGGTCGATTTTTTGCTCGTTTTTGCCCAACCCCCATGTTGCAGGCCTCTCAAACATTCTGCATGCCCCATTTTTCACACAAAATGAAGAATGCAGAGGGTTTGGGAGGCCTGTAGAGTGCAAAAACTTTTTTTTTAATTTACCTCTTCCAAATCTTGGTGCGTCTTATACTCCAGCACATCTTATACTCCGAAAAATATGGTACTTGGAAGAAGACATTCAGTAAATTATGATAGCAGTTCTGCCTAATTTGATTAGGTTACATATTTCTAATGTTCTGAATACTGCAGTGATCATTTAAAGTTTTTTCTAGGAATCAAACAAATATTAAGGAAAATTGTTTGGTAATACAAATACCTGCTGGTCATCTGTCACATCTTTCACGGCACCGTTGGAAGCAACAGGAGCAGAATTAACTGCAGACGTCCAATCCTTCTGATTGGACAGTATGTCAAATAGAACTAAGGCTCCTAGGAGATACAAACTCTATTGTTAGAAATAGAAGTTTGAGATATCTAAACAGACTGAGTTTAAACAGTAATTACCTTAGGTATGTTTCCCACTAAACGTATATTGAACCAATAATTATATTCAAACATTGCATTACCTAAACTGTGGCCAGCAACAGAGATTCCTCCTTTAAAGTCAGGGTTTCTGCTCATAAATAGTGCATAAAGATGGTTCATCTCTACTGTTACTTTCTCCACAACTGTTTGGCAGTAAGTGGGGCTATTGTAAAACAGGATATCAAGTAAAGTCTCATTGGTGAAGTGGCGGAGGCGTCCAATAGTTGGCAATGTTATTTTTTTAATATTCCTTGAAAAACACAATTACACAGGTTATTAAAAAGTTATTTCAAATAAACTTTGCTAAAATTAAGAAATTTGAGAGTAAAAATTGCCAAAGTAATTTTCACAAATCATTTTTCAAGTCTATAAAGCAATCGTGGTCACTATATTATCTTCCTTGTAGCTTCGTTATTCAATTTTAACAGTCTTGCCCCAATTAAACAGACCATTTAGGAAAAAGAAGTCTGTTAGTCATGATCCTCCGTTGAATTGAAAGTTACACCATCGTAGAGATTAACTTTGATGATATCATCATTTCAATTGTCACAAATTTGGTTATGTTGTACCAAGGTTCAATAAACTGAAGTTTCACTTTGTGCGAACCTAATTAGTGGTTATGTATTCAATAACCCATAGTTAGGCAAACTATGAATGCAGTATGTGATGCCCTAGTTTGGTTTAGCGCAGTGTTTCTCAACCTTAGCAACTTGAAGATGTCTGGACTTCAACTCCCAGAATTCCCCAGCCAGCATTCCCCAGTCCGGACATCTTCAAGTTGCCAAGGTTGAGAAACACTGCGCTAAACCAAACTAGGGCATCACATACTGCATTCATAGTTTGCCTAACTATGGGTT